CTGTAGTATCATAAGATGAATTAATGGTATTGCGACGACCCGACTGACTAATCTAGTGCATCTGCACAAATATGTTATTGAATGAATTTAAGAAAGAGATATGCTAGGGGTGTACTTATATATGCTGAGCACGGTAAGACCAGCCTCGCTCTGCATACAAATGGCACATAAATGCTGCAAATAATTCATTAAAAAAAACAGAAAACACCTTAAATGGGACGATGTCCCTAATGCACGTCTCACTTGAAGTACTCAAAGGCATTTATTGTCACATAATAATTCCATTTTGTTAACATCTAACTATTCTCTCACACACACTCGCACGCACGCACGCACACAAAAGAAAACTCAAATGTACAGTTCTAAGCTTTTATACAAAACCAGGAATGCAATGCCTCTGGTGTATATTTAAGCATGAACAGAGAAAGCCCTTTTTACAATGTTTGTATTTTTGTCTTCTTTTAGTTTGTTTGTTTATATTCAGAGTCTGCATCTGGTGCAAGATATGCACTGTATGGGCCGAACAGGGATTTCATCTGAAGCAGAACGTCTGTGCTGGTCGAACCGGCCCAAAACAAAAAAACAGTCCGTAACATCTCATCTGAGCCGGTTCTTGTACAGCATTACATTTCTAGGAGGTCCATAAAGCAGCAACAGGTTCTGCTGGTTGATAAAAAAAGCAGCGATTTGTGTCTTTTTTTCATGGCCCCATGAATGCGAAGGGCCTCTCCGAAGCCTTTACACTGCTGCCAATTTACAAAACGTCTTTACCAATAAAAGGATAGAGTGAGGGAACGAAGATGAAAAATAAAATAAAATAGCGTGGACTAGACACAAAACTAAATACATTTGGCTTGATGAGACTAAAGTGAAATTGGAAATTTACAGTCACTTGATATATGTAAAATAAAAAAAAATGGGGCCTGCACATAACAAGCAAAATATGTATTTATATTGCAGCCACATATTATAATTTGACTTAAAAATAGTGCGGCATGGAGGCTCAGTGGTTAGCACTGTCGCCTCACAGCAAGGTTACTGGTAGTAGAGTTTGCATGTTTTCCCCATGTTTGCATTGGGTTTTCTCCGGGTGCTTCGGTTTCGCCAACAGTCCTAAGACATGTGGTGGTAGAATAAAATAAATTGGCTGTACTGTTTACAGAAATCTTCAGTAAATTGAAATGACAAGTTAGTAAATCATGCCCAAAATGTACTTGAAACAAATGAGAAAGTGCTAAAAATGAAGGAATGCGTTAAAAATTTTTTTGCATACAATGTATAGAATACAAGGAAATCTAATTTTACGAATTAGTAAATCAAGCTAACAATGTACTAAAAACGAATGAGTAAATTGTGCTTTACATCTTTAAAACTAGGGCTGCACAATATAGACCATTTTGAGGGATGTAAACTAAAACAATGGTCCCAACATATTTCTTGTTTTACATTTAGAATTTCCATAGCTTCCGAGAATCCGAAAATAAAAACACATATTGATAAATAATGTTATGATAGCTGTTTTAACAATAAGTTATGATTGAATTGCCTTTTGTTAGTTATGAAATAGTTTGATAACAAGCTGGACATGTTCATGGGCCAATAACATGACCACATTGATATGATCTATATAATTTTAGCATCGGTATCGCAATGTGCGCATCCGCAAATTGTCACATAGCAAAGACATGCTATGCCCAGTCTGAATAGTTTTAGTTCACCAGGAGCTACTGAATTGAATTTATTCACTGTATTTTTTTACAAAATGTTTATGATTTATGCAAAAAAACATTTCTTACTTAAATTTTTTGCTATTTTTCAAACCCAAATAGCTACATTTCAAAGCGAAAACTAAATTATTTAACTTGCCACGCTGGCAAAAAACTCTTAATTTTCACTTAGTGAAGTTTATTTATAAACTCATTTCGAGAGGATCACATGCTTATGATTGTTCACAGCTGGTCCCTCATTAGATAACGCTGATTCAACAAATATAAATAACCAGTTTCTTATCTCAGTACCTACAAGGCAGGTCAGTGATTAGCATTGTTGTCTCACAATAAAAAAATGTCTCTGGTTAAAGTCCCTACTAAACCAGTTGGCATGTCTGTGAGGAGTTTGCTCATTCTCCCCGTACTCATGTTGTTTTTCCACTGGTTCTCATCCAAGTCCAAAAAACACGCAACCTAACTAAATTGAACATACCAAATTGCCATTATAGTCAAGCTCTTAGCAAGCCGTATATCTCCTTAGCCATCTTATATCTGCCTTCAGCCAGAAATAAGTCGGGGGAGTACATCGAGATCTACCTGAGCTCAAACTCCCCTCTTGCCCTGCTAATGGGAGGGAGCCCAGGACACGAGAATCTTACAAGCTGAAAGCTAGGGCTAAGTGTAAACTCTTGAATTTCTTCTTACAGTGAAAACTAAATAATATTTTTACGTGGTCTAAGACTTTTAAGGATATTTGGAATAAAAACAAGACAAAGCAAAGTAAAGCGAAGCATTTTTTTGCATTGTGATCATTCAATTTGTGTACCTGAATACTGTTAAGACTCCCCAGAAAACCATCAAATAGAGCTATTCAAACCATCTCGTGAAACATTACTCATCAAAAAATAACATATCACAATATAATTTTTACAAAATCGTGCAGCCCTACTTAAAACAATAGAGAAAATAAGTGAAACGTATTGTCCTGATGAACCTAAAGTATGTAAAGCTTAAAAGAATGTACTTAATTGTACTTAACGAGTTTACACTTAAGATAATGCTTGACGTTGTTAGCAGGTTTGGCATGCTGTCCCGGGAGAAAAACCGTGAGCTCGGAGATAGACATGCCCAAGGCTCCTGCCTGGTCAATGAGCATTAAGAGGGGTAGGAGATCAGGTAATTCTCGAGAGCTCCTGCGATTCGTTTAGCCTAAACCTTGACTAATTAGAGGTCTCTTTAGGAACAAACCGCCAACCACATCATTGCGTACACATTAAGTGATTGTGATTGTTACTATTATTTAATTTACTTGTGTCGTTTGATTTTAGACTGTGGGAGGAAATCGGAGTACCCGGGGAAAACCCACACAAACACGGAAAAAACATGTAAACTCCGCACAGAAGTGCCGACTGGCTCAGCTAGGACTTAAATCAGTGACCTTCTTGCTCTTCCAAAACGAAGATAGGTAATAAAATTAACCTGGATATTTATGTTAAATTCGAAATAATCCAATTGGCTGGCTAACGATTAGTGATAGGGATCAGCTGCGGTCAATCATATCATATGATCTTCTCGAAATTAGTTTGCAAAACTTCACTTAAAATAATAATTACTAAAATGTACTGACGTGTTTCTGAAGGGAACAAGTTTAAAATAAATTTTTTTTTTGCTGGACAGAAAGCAGCGTTTTGGAGAGAGGGTGTGGGATCAGAAAAAGTCTACTTGGGATGACCAAATCGTGCCGACATTGGGATCAACTCTTTAGTGGCTACTACATATACTGTTTCTGCTTGTCGTGCAGCGCTCCAAACTAAAAAATTGCAAGTTTGGGTGATCAAAACACAAAAAGTCTTATTAAATCGCAATACTTGATCTGCACCATTTGAAACTGATATGAATTTTTTTTAAATATACAGAAACAAAACTAGTGAGACAGTAGTTTAAATCAAAACATTTAATAGCATCAAAGCCTTGGAAGAAAAAATAAAAATCAAGAAATAATAGTAGAATGTTAACGTTCGAATTTGCGAAGGCAAATTAGTTTCAGTCATCGTTATAAAATATACATGATAGAGAATTAAAATAAAGATAAAATACTTCAGAAATAATAATAATAAATGCCCCATCCATACGTTAAATCGGTAACATGAAAAAAAAAAATTGCGACCCTTTTACATGAGAGGATGCCAAATATCAATACAAAGTGCATTAAAAGCAGCAGCATAAGAGGGGCGGTGTGTGGAAATAAAAATGGTGCAAGTAATCCTGTAACCATTGGTTGATATCCTATGAGTGTAAATCATGGGGCTTAAGTTTGAAACTAACAAGGAGATCCTTCAAATGTGGAATAATAAAACTAAACTGATGTTGAATGGGCGTTTGGCATTCCTCACAGTAAACGTGGGCCTTAAACCGCTAGCACTGATCAAGCACCTGATACGTAGATGCAAATTCTCACCGATAGGACACAAGCAGAGCGCAACACTGTGGATATGGCAAACAAGTAAACACTCACAACCCCCACCACCTCCTCCCTTAAGCTTGACGTGATTGCGTTCATAAAAAAAAAAAAAAAAGTTTGATTCTTCTGTTGCTTCACTATATCGCAGAAATAAAATGTTAAAACATCAAGCGTGACAACACGTCCCAAAAGCGAACAGGAATGAATATTTTTTAAAAAATTATAATAATTCATAACTGAAAAAGGAATTACTTTATAAATTATACTTTCGTAAATGTATCCTTTTGTATTAAAATCCTCTTGGATAATTATGTTCAGTCACAAACCACCCAACTGCACTGGATAGGCACAATTCTAAAACGACGACAACAATGAAAATGAATCAAATTAATAAAAACACTAAAATTTTGTTCGCTGCTTCCAAACAGGTCCTCTGTACAATAAAAATCTTTTGGTTGTGGGATGATAAAAATACGAGAGAATCTCTGACTAAATGAAATAAAAAAACAACTCACATACAGTATGGCGGCAGCAGCAGCAGCAAAAATGAACGTGTAAAAATGTTGTTTTTGCATACAACTGTTTCCTGGCATCGAAACCCCTAACGACTTTCAATAAATTGGCAAAAATGATTGACAAATTTTGCGAGCGCCTCTTCGGAATCACTAATGTACATTAATTTTGGCAACAGACGTCTAGACGTTGTTTTCTACTGGGACCTATAACTGGCTACGATTCCTCCCAGTCACGCAGTTTTGTTTTGTTGTTCTAGATATAATGACGTGAAGCTAACGCCGAAATCGGTTTCCTCTGTACAGTGTGCGAGCGTCTCAGACCATGGCGCGGTAGGGGCCCTGCATCTTGAGGAACTGGATGATGAAGGAAGGGCCTCCGGCGACGATCTGTGGCGGCAGGTGGCTGAGCGGGCAGTTCTCTATGCTCATGATGGACAGTTTGCTGCACAGCGCCAGCTCGAATGGCAGACTGTGCAGGTTGGGGTTGTCATTCAGGTACAGGTCCTCCAGATTCTCCAATGTGCCTGTGAGGTGAAGAGAGAAAAGTGAGCTGGCTGTAGCTTGTGTGTGGTGCAGTGTGTTTATGAGGACCGTACCGATCTCCTCGGGAAGGTGCTGCAGCAGGTTCTCTCCCAAGCCCAGGTACGTCAGGTTGGTCAGGTGACCGATTCCTCTCGGCAAAGTTGTCAGCTGATTATTGGTCAATACGAGTTTCTGTGAAAAATGAGGAATTTGTTTTTTAGTACGCACAATAGATGCTATAAACAGAGGAAAACAGCACGGTAGGCGTTCTTTGTGGACAGGTCAATCCCAGAATGCAATGGGAAAGGCATGGCAAGCAATAGAAATCATTCTGTATTAAAAACAAATATTTTTTGCTAAAAATGACAATTTGCAGACAATTTAGCGATTAAAAAAGGGATATTTATTTAAGATATCTTATTTACCATATTAGGTAGCCTACTATGTTAGGCACAATGACATAAATCATAAAAATAAAGCTTCATTATCTTGGTCTTTTGTCAAGACACGATCTTAAACGGTAGAGATTAAGCCAAAGGAAGGTTGTATAACTCTTATTTTTATCGACGATTTTGCATTCTCTTTTTCAGATTCCACTCTCTGAATCATCTGACATGTACTTCACTTGAGATGACACGAGTTAGGGCTTCCTCTACTGTAATACACCTAAAACACAGATTGTCGTCAAACTCATCAATAGCAGGGAAGCGTTTTCTCTCGTCATGTAAAGCAAATAATGTCCTTCAATTCAGTCAAGTCCAGCAGCCGTTATCCTTAAACCAATCTCCATGATTGTAAGCTGCTTGCTTTTGTCTGTTCCACTACTCCGTTAACTAGATGTTTGCTCCCACTTTTTTAGCAGTCTGAAGCGTGTCAAACATAGAAAACAGCCAATTCACGCTATGCTATTCACTCGATTTGCGCCACAAAATGTCTAATCGCATTTTTGCGTTGACTTCACATGAAAATTTCTAGTGCTTCATCCACGTCTGCTTCTTGCACCTGCTTCTTCCTCCAACTTCCATGTTATATTAGGAAATTGAGGGCGTAGGCGAGACGATATTTTTCGAAAGGCGAGAGACACTCAAATACATCAAGTGCACTGCGTATGCAACGTCTGTAAATCATGTAAAACAATTAATGGCAAACTGAAAAAATTCTTGGGAGTTTGATGTTTAATGAGATTATTTATGAGATTATTTAAATTTTTTTGCTATTAATTTGCGTTTAAATTAAGAATGTAGCAGAATTGCAAAAAAAAATCTACTTTTTGTTGATTTTTATGTTGCATTCAACGATTAGAGGGTCTTCTAGCATGTTCTCATAAAACTTTTGTGGTTATTTTGACAAAGTGTTAGTGTTTTCCTACCTACAAACTGTTGGCTTTTCTTTCCTCTACTCAATCTTAGATAGAGGTAAAAAAAGTGCTGAAAAATCATACTTAAGTAAAAGTACTATTACTTGCCTAAAATGTAGTGCAAGTAGATTAAAGTATCTGTTGGAAATATTACAAAGTACTAGTAAAAAGTAGACCTTTCAAAAGTACTCAAGAGTAGTGAGTATTATGCTGTGAAAAGCTAATGCATTTATATGTAATTTGTAGATATGTGTAAATGTAACATTCTCTAGTGCATTTAGTTATTGCCTGGTAGGCACACAACATCATAAGACTTTAATATAAGGTTAGATTTCAGATGTCAGGTGACCAAAATCAATGTCTAACCAGCGACTAAGGACAATTTTTTTTTTATGTTCAATAACGACGTCAAATGATGGTGTTATTTAGTTGATTTTAGGCTGTGTTAGTAAGTGACTAAAATCCAACGCTGAGCCAACACCTTAAACCAACATCATATTGATGTCAAATACTGACATTTATTCATCAGGTATAGCAACAAATCTCCAACGTCTGATATAACAAACAAGGTCAAGCTGTAACATCATTAGGCTATGATTTTAGGTTGGATGTTGGACATTGCCGTTGGCCTGACGTTGGGTTCTGACGACAACCCGATTTTCATCTCCAAACAAAATGCCCCCATCGACATTGGGAAACAACATCAATATGACGTCATGTGCCTGCTGGGTGTTTAAGGCCATTTCAGTCCATAATACAGTAAACATCCGTAATCTTGTCATCAGTGACATGCATCTAAACCATACCTGTCAACATTGGTATGTGAAAATAAGGGATATGCCCACCATAATAAGGGATTCCCCCGACCCCCTATAAAAAGCCTTAAATTACTAAATATGCTTATTTGGAGCTGTTTCATTGTAAATAAACAGTTAAATTGTCAGTAATATGTTCTATTATTATTATTATTTACAAAACAAAAAATAAATAGTGAACATCAGCAACAAATTAGCAAACACTTCAGCTTATTAAAATTAATAGCTATTATAATGAAATAGAATCAAATCTCATTATCCGTTTCCTCACTGTATAAAATACACATTCTGATTAAAGAGCAACGAATGAATGATTTATTTAGATTTTTTTTGTTGATTACATTACATTAATTAACAGGTGTCACTTTAAAAATGCATACGGCTAACGTTGAAATGAAAGCATTCGACTGCTTTCCTAACTGTTTATGCTCATTTAGGAAGAAATTACTTGTGTTTGGACAAAAAAAATTAAAAATTCACCAAGATCAACATCTTTAGATATTAATGTTATTAATTATGTGTATATGTCTGTTTAAACACGCACCCAATCCCCAGACTTTTGCTCCGCTTCAAATCATGAGTACAGAATCCGTTTATGAAACAAACAAATATATCAATATGGAGCGCGTCAGCTGACAGTCATGCACCTTTATATGACTGTTTTAAGGATTGCATATGAACGAGAGACGACACTTGTAATGAAAAGGAAGAGGAATCGCGCCATTTTTAGGTTTATTTAAAAATGTTTTCGTGCCTAAACAAAGTGAAAGCACAAAACAGACTCACATTTAAGAGCAAGAGGCGGCTCTTTGAGGTTTGGAGAATCCTGAGAAAAACAGGAGGGTTGACGGGTATGATCTTAACCAGGGGTCACCAATCTCGGTCCTGGAGGGCCGGTGTCCCTCCAAGGTTTAGCTCCAACTTGCCCCAACACACCTGCCTGGGTGTTTCAAGTATACCTAGTAAGACCTTGATTAGCTTGTTCAGGTGTGTTTGATTAGGGTTGGAGCTAAAATCTGCAGGACACCGGCCCTCCAGGAACAACTTTGGTGACCCCTGATCTAAACAGTCTCTGGGTCAATGCGTGTAAAGATTTTAAACATCTTCTTTTGGACACAATGCTTCCAAACAGTTTGCTGCAATTTTAAATCACCCATGTCTTAAGGTAGTTAATTATGAAGCGATTTACCTTGACTGTGCGATTTGATTGCACAGAAATCACAGGACTGATTTTTCTAATCCCCATAGACAAGAAAAAATATAGTAGTGACAGCAGGTTGAAGGAAAGTAGTGGAGTAAAAGTACAGATCCTGCACTAAAAATGTACTCAAGGGTAAGTAAAAGTACACATTTGTAAAACTGCTTAGTAAATTACAATTCCTGAGAAAAACTACTCAATTACAGTAGTTTGAGTATTTGTAATTCGTTACTGTACACCACTAATCTTAGATGGTATGAACTTATGAACATTTAAAAAAAATTTCTTCGCCCATAAAACTGTTGAATGTTTTGGGTTCTCTTGAGAGATGTGTTTGAAATTAAGAAATTATGTTTGAGCATAGAATTTGTGTTCTCCATAAAAAGTCTTAAGAACTTCTGCATCCTCTTCAAATATCTTTGCTTTCTTTTCTCCCAAACTTGACAGGCTGATGAACTCTGTTTGATTTCATAAAACTCTTGCCTTCCACGAAATGTCCCAATCTCAAAATGCTCCCAACAAACTTCAGAAGGGCCCTGATGAACTCTGCCTTTGGTTTCTTAAAATGTCTGTGTTCGCTTGCAAAATCGTTGGGTTCGCTTGAAAATAGTGTTCTCTCACAATATCTTGGAGTGCTTGCAAGAAACATTCTGTTCTTTCCAATAACATATGCTAGCCCAGATTAACTTTGCTTTCACTTGTGTTTTGTCATAAAAAAAAACCAACATTTACAACTAAATTCTCTCACAAGATGCTTGGGTTAACTTTAAGAATTGTGTCCTTAAATGTTACTTAAATCTTTTTCCAACCTTCGAATCTTTTGTACATTTGTTTTTCACCGAGACAATTTGCATTCACACACAAAAAGCTTATCTTCCTTTGCTAAAAAAAAAATGGTTACCAAGAGGAAGTTTGCACAAAACTTTGCACTCTTTCTGAAGCATCAGCACACTCCAGTGAGTCATGCAGAACATTTGTGATGTAAATAAAATGTGGTGTATTATTTTATTTGCAATTAATTGTTTTACATGACTTAAAGAGGTTGCATACGCAGCTCACGTGATTTAAGTGTCTCTCTCACCTGCGCCCTCACAATCCTAACATTACATGGAAGTGGGTGGAAATTGTTTTTCAGCCTGTGCAGTAAGCAAACGCATATAAAGTCTGAGTGATTTACATGTGAAGCCAATGCTAGACGTTCTGTGGTACAAATCAAGTAAATAACATGGCACGAATCGTTTGACATGCTTCAGACTGCAAAAGAAAGTGGGAGCAAACATCTTACAAACGAAGTAGAGGAACAGACAGTAAAAGCAAGCAACTTACAATGATGGAGATTGGTTCAAAAATTCGGACGTGACCGAATTGAAGGACATTTTTTTGCTTTACATGTATGGCAGGTAGCTTATGATGTGCGTAAAAACAATAAATGATTTCGTTTAATTTTTTCCCTATCATCGACAACAGATTATGCTTCCCTGCCATTGACGAGTTTGACGACAATCCGTGTTTTAGGTGTATTCCAGTAGGGGAAGCCCTAACGCATGTCAGCTCAAGTGAGGTACATGATGTCAGCTGATCCGGGGAGTGAAATCATTGAAAGAGAAAGTAAAATTGAGAAAAAAAATTTATACAACCTTCCTTTGGCTTAATCCATACCATATTAGATCTATTATATATCTTGTCTTGACAAGAGACCAAAATAAAGAAGCTTTATTTTTATGATTTGTGTCACTGTCATTTTACCAGATATTTTTTTTATAAATCACAAAATTGTCTGCAAATTTCTGGGAATTACCACCACAAAAAGCAGTCATTTTTAATTCCAAAAAACAAAATTACAAAAAAATCGTGGAAATCTAGAGTGTCTGATATATTATATTGATTTATTAAATACCTGATATATTTGGATATTTTTTGTGAGAATATGCAAGGTGTATTTGGAGAATCATCTGAGAAAGTATGCAAAAGACTTATGACAAAACGCCAGGTTTTTTTAAAGAATGCACTTTTTCAAATGCTGAGGGGCTCCACACAGTAATGCAAAGACTCCACCGGTAACAACTGTCTCTACCTAAAAGACCACTGTCCTACCTGCAGATCCTTAAGGTAGGCAATCTCATTAGGGAGAGACTCCAGTTTGTTCTCCTCCAGATCAAGCTCTCGTAGTTTCCTTAAGTTGCCAATCCCATAAGGCAACTTTTTCAACAGGTTGTTGGACAATGTAAGCATCTAAAAAAAAAACAAAAAAACACAACTTGTGCTTTGGGAGTTGTAGAGCTGCGCATTAATGGATTTTCTCTTCAGTGTTTGGGCTTTCAGCCGTAAAACTTAAACCACACTGAACTGAACTTAAACTCTGAAAACTATACTGACAGTTTCAATTTACTATAACTTCTATTTCTGATTAAAATGTGTTTTGTTTAAAAAAGTGGTGTATGATTTTTCTGTTCGAAATAAATACATCAAATCAAATGTTAAGCTGCTTTGACACAATCTACATTGTAAAAGAGCTTAATAATTAAACATGAATGGAATTGAAAAAAAAAAAAAAACATGAGCAAAAGAAGACCCAAAAATAGATTTGCTTTCATGAAACATCACCTCTAAAGACACAAGGCCGCAGATGTCCTCTGGAATCTTGGTAAGCTGGTTTGTTGCCAGATTCAACTCCACCATACTGGTCCACGTCCCAAAATCCAGTGGCAGAGATGTTAGCTGGTTGTCCTGTAAATATGATAAAAAAAGAGAGCATGTTTAAAACATTATTCTTTTAACTTTTTGTAAGATTTAGTGTTACAATATTTACAGCATTACCTAACATAGATGTTTATAAGTCCAAAGTAGGGCCAGACAGAATCTGCAGACATTTTTTGCTATTTCTGCACAGAATTTTGGTAAAAAAAATCTGCAGGTTTATGCAGAATGATTTTGGGAGTATCGCAACTAAAACCTTAATACATAAAATAAAAAGTAATACCTTTTTAATTTGTATTTAATATTTAGATCTACTTTAGTTGGTAAACAAAGCAAATCTCTCATATAATATACCTACTAAAAGACAGAAAATATTACTTTACAAACCATATTGTAAATAAATCATATATTTTCATATTAGTCAATAATATTACTGGAATTAATTTAAAAACTGAATAAATATGATTTTACAAATTGCAAAGTGCAAATTGTAGCCTCAATTTCCTGTTCTTAGCTGACAGAAGTGGCACCATGGAAGTGGAACTGGCATCAACGGCATTTGCACCCACAGAACTGCCGCTTACTGGATACTAGGGATGCCACGGTTCTCAATATAATATTGAAATGTATGGTACGACTTCCACAGTTCAATACACGCTTGTGAATTGCGGTTTTCTTGGTTTTGCGTTTAAATAATTTATGTGTGTTTTATATCTCCCCAAATTGACTGTGTGTGCCTCTAAATCCATGAGCTGAGATAAGGAAACTCCTCCCCGCGAGTAAATATCCAATCACTATGCTCTAAAGTTAGGGGGCGCTTGACCGTCATTCCATACTTAAACATTGCGAGTGGCGGTGAAGTGAGGCTGAGGCAACAGTACAAGGAAGCGCTGGCGAAGGGAGGCAACAGTACGAGAAAGCACCAGCATCTTTCTAATCTGCGGTGTGAGGACATTTCGGTTTTGCCGGCAAGTATAAAGGCAATAAAAGAAAAATACCCAGCAATATCACTGTCTGAAGGCAGGATAGCAGAGAAGGTAATAAAGTCCTCCAAATAGCAACAATCCCTCGCTGAATCTACCCAACTGTTTCTGAGAGACACATAAAAATATCAAAGGCAGTGCGGGTGTTTATTGTTAAATATTAGCAGCCGTTTTCGGTGGTTGGAGATGCGGACTTTTGTCATTTTATAAAAAGCACTCGATCCGCGTTACAGACTACAGTCTCGCGTTTTTTTCAGCACTGAGATAATTAAGATGGTTTATTTTTGTTTATTTAAGTACAAATATGTTTTATGTGTTCCCCAGTTTGTACATGGGCTACCAGCAGCTGTGAGATTTCAGTGTTGATTTTTTCTAATACAATACACTAGGAACTAGTGTACTTTTCTTGGCTTTTGAGTAAAACACCAACCTCTTACTGTTCCTATTGCCAATAGAATAAAAAAAAAAACACACGTGTCAAGCCATGAGAACCGAACCAAACCAAAAACAGTGTCAAAAAATACGAGGTATGTATTGAACCGTGGGCTAACTGTATTGTTACTGGATACTTTCTTTTTTTTGTGACCATTCTCTGTAAACCCTAGAGATGGTTGTGCATTAAAACCCCAGTAGATCAGCAGTTTTTGAAATACCCAGCCTATCTGGCACAATCAACCATGCCACTATCAAAGTCACTTAAATCACCTTTCTTCCCCATTCTGTTGCTCAGTTTAAACTGCAGCAGATCGTGTTGACCTTGTCTACATGTCTAAACAAGCAGTTGGACAAGTGTATCGAATAAAGTGGTCGATAAATGTGTATATAAATGTACAGATACACAGCTGGAATTTAAAGCTTTATTTATTTTTTTTAAATCAGGAGATAAAGCTTACACTGTAAAAATGTTGGGTTACACACAATTTCTTTATGTTGTCCCAACACAAAGCGATTAAGCTAACTTAATTGGTTGAACAAATTTGAGTTCATCGAACAATAATGCCGTTCCAAAAAAAAACAAGAAATGTGTTGTTTCAGCTCATTTTAAATAAGCAGTTAAAGCAAAAATCCTTTTGAGGGTAGATAAGAGTCTCTGTATACCTACACAGTACATATTATACACTATGCTTACTAACTTCACTTGCACAAAGCTTTCCTCCTTCATGGACTGTTTTTTTTACCTTGCTGCATACGCATTTTTACATTTTTTTGTACTTTTAAACCTTTTAATTTCGCGAGAAGTCAGTCACAGTATCTTTCTGTTCCAAGGCAAGTGAATGGTTGCTTGCTATTAATGTCCCATATTCATATGCATGCACTCAATGAACTTGGAGTCAAAGTCCAAGTTAAAAGAGAAAGTTGATGATCGGCATTATAACACCAACACAGTGTGATTGCACAGGTTTAGTTTTGTCAACAAGAAATGAATCCCCTAATTCAAGAGTTTGTTCAGCCAGCATCCTGGTACAGGCCACTAGTCTTAAGTCTTTAGGCTGGTGTCCTTACTTTACACTCTCCACAATTTTTGTGCTCTCACCTTCATATTGAGCTTGCTAAGCACTTTTGCTCGAGAGAAAATGCCAAAAGGGATCTTGTTGATACGGTTGTGCTCCATGTTGAGAGAATAGATGGTGGAAAACTGGGACGGGCCGCCCACTGGGTAAGACTGGAAACAGTTTCGCGCCAGCGTCAGACTTGTCAGGTTCACCAGACTGGAGAGAAGCCCCTGATTAGGAACAGACAAGGACCAATGTAATACACACATATATACAAGCATGATAATAATTATCAGCTGGACTGAGGAAAAGCAACCCTTACCTCTGGTAAAACCGAGATGTTGTTGTTTTCAAGGTTGAGCTCTTCCAGCTCTCTGCACTTTGCTAAAGATCGAGGGATCGCTGATAGGCGGTTGTACCTCAAACCTAGACGGTTTATACTTGCCAAGTTACCTGAAACAGTAAATGAAGGTGAGAAATCCTACTTTGATAGTTCACCCAAAATTGAATCATCTATTCAGAATGGTGCTGTCCTAATGATGTATGCCTTTTTTTCTTTTTCTTCTCATACTTCTCTATATAATGGAGTCGATTAGCATCAGCATTATAGGAATAGTTCACCCCATAATTTACTTACCCTCAAGCCGTCCTGACAGAGTAGTTTTACAATTTGTAAAATTTGCGTGAAGGGCTTGAAATGTTACCCCCTAATGCTGATTTATACTTCTGCATCAGGCACACACGTATGTTCCGGTGCAGCCTTCATGTGGTCGATTAGTCCTCGCTGTGGCCATCACGCACCTCTCAAAAAATGTAACTACACGTCACAACAACGCATAGCGCAAGCTCTGTGATTGGTGGGCTTGGTAACACTGACAAGATTGTTTACAAGTATCGAGTCCTGCTCCAGATGGAAAGTTTTGTTTTGCGTTTACCTTATGATTAAAGTTGTCGCATGTCCGCCGGTTCCTGCCTCAAAATGAGCGAGTTTTAGCTACTTGTACATTAAGGTAGCGTTCAGAAAAAACAAAACACCAGCGAAGAAACTCGAAACAGAGAAACATAAAAACCTAATGCCAGCTACCGTTTCAGAAGTGTTATTGCAGAGCAACACAAACAGCAGAAGTTTAAATGCACGGCAACACGCAAGGCATGTGCAATGGGTCACGCCGATCACTCAAAGCAGAAGTATAAAACAGCTGTAAGAAATGGGACTGCACTACAAAACCTGCACATGTCATCATGAGCTCGTACTTCATACAAGATTGACCATGGCAACTGCTGTAGTTATTCCAGTTGCATTATGTTTTGGTATTTACCTTAAGGAAATCACTGAAGGCAACGACATTATGTTATCATAACGATATAATGTGGCAATGAGATCGTAACTATACTGTGCATTTAGACCATGGCCAAGTTCATCTATAAGAAAACTACATTAAAATAATACCAGACACTGTAAAAAGGTCATTCCCAGCCATGACACTTTTCTGACAGGGTATTCAAGTGTCAGAATGTTAATCTTATTTTTTTTTTTCTAAAAGCATGATGGTAAAACACAAATGCTGTTATTTATGTATTAAGTTGTGCTTGTTTGTTATAAAACTTGGTAATAATGAAAAAAAAAAACTAATTTATCTTCCTTGTGCAGCCATGCTGCTGTTGTAGATGGAGTATTCTGGGAAATATTTGTACTCTTTGGATTTGAGTAAGGTCCTGAAAAATCTCAGTTTCTAGGGCTATCTAGCCCTTCCCTTTAGCCCTACACCTTCATGCTATAAAGAGAATTGGGACACTCGTTTTGCACGTTCACATGAAGGGGTAAGGGAAAGGGCTAAATAGAAGAATTAGGATTGGGTCTTTATCCTAGCTCTAGCATGTAGTTGAATTGTAACTTTTATTTTGAAGAATCCAAAATCACATTACGCTTAATAATATTCCGATTAAACCACTGAAGGAATATAGTTTGTTTTGAGAATTTAACAGAGTCAAAAAACTTCCATTGAGGATGAACAAAGTCTCAGGAGTTTTGAACAACATGAGGGTGAGAGAGAGAGAATTTTAATTTTATTGCCATTTCAGCTTCTATGGCTATTTCATGGCAAAAAGATTAAGTTTATCACTTTTTATAAACACCAATTTTCTATGATTATAAAAATATTCTACATGAGGGTGAGTAATTAATAACCATTTTAATTTTTTGGGTGAATTAAGCTTTTGATTTAAATGTGTAAAGTTTATATTTACATGGGCATCAAAGCATAATTTCTCCACCTGTTAGATTATACTTAAACAGGGGATTCTAAAATAAAAAAACTGGCAAAAGTCCTAAAGATGTCTTTTTGAGCTCATCCTCACCTATAGTCTCAGGCAGATCGAGAAGATCATTGTGCTGCAGGTCAAGGTTGGTAATCTGAGTGCAATTTCCAATCTCTTTAGGAAGGTGCTCCAACTGGTTGTGGGCTACATCCAGCGTGATCAAGTTACAGAGCTCACCTATAACACAAGACAACAGAGTCGCTGCAAAATGAACAACTCAAAGTAGAAAAGTTCACTGTAAGAGATTTTATGCAATGACGAAGTGGGAGGGAAAAAAAATCTGTTCTCTGATGCATTATGATTGAAAGTGATGCGTCAGAAAGTTTCACTTTCAACCACAGCTGTGTGCTGTGAAGGCACTTATGCAAACATTTCAGACTGTCGTTTTGCTGGCTGCTAATTCTATGCATACATACAAGTACACAAAACCCTTGAGCAAGTATCTAAACTTCCAAAAGTCGGAAAGCTTTTGCTTTAGTGCTTTTGCTTCGCTCCTTGTTTTGAGTGTCCCAGGCTTTTCTTTAATGTTGTGCCAATTAAAAGCTAATTTGCCACATCTAAACCAGCCAATCAAGCTTTTATAGACTCACTCAAAAGTGCATTAGATTTGATTCATCATGAAATAGAAAATCTTTTTTTTCTCCCACTTCTAATACATATAAACAGACCAAAGGCCATTATCAGATCTGTTAACCTATCAAAAGAGGCAGTATTTTTTTCTTTCAGTCATTCGTGTTTCCAGCCCAACTCATTTAATAGAAAACAGGAAGCAGATAAGATACAGATTAGTCAATAGTCATGTTTGTTTATATTATTGTTTAATGTAATTAACATAAATTGCAAAAAGTGAATTGAAAATATTGCTAAAAATGCATAGCAGTGTTGACATTAAATTGAACCAGATTGTAGTAAAAACCTAAATTATACAATTAAACAAATAAAACAAAACAAAATTAGTAAATCAATTAATCAATTAGTTACGTGTAATAAAATGAAACGACACAAGAAGAAAGTACATAACTACTAAAATGTATTTTTTACTTTGTGTAAAAGGCTTTTTTGGGAATGGCCGCTTCAAGGCGTCTCTCGTATGGAAAATGAAGCAGCATGAATTGATCAGGTGTGATTTTTGTTCTCATATTTTAAAAGTTTAAAAAACTTGATGGTTAAGTGAGTCTCGTCTAGGAACTCTGTGATCTTTAATTCTTATTTTCTATTGAATTCAGGTCAGGGGATTGCCTGGGCCATTCTAGCAGCTTGATTTTCTTTGTCTAAAAGCATTTGAGTTTCCCCTAATCGGTGTTTGGGATCATTGCCTTGTGGACATCTCTGGTTTCATCTTCAAAGACTGAATCAGCTAATTTCCATTTACACTGAAGAGAGGCAGCATTCGTTTCTATCTGCTGAGAGATTTCAGCTGCAGTCTGGGCTTTCCTTGCCTTTTTACACCTCTCTTTCTTCGTGTCTTCAATACTTTTCTTGTGTCATTTCATTTTAGAAATAGGTTTAGAATTAAGCTTTCGAAAATAAAATGGTGATGTTTTCAATATCTATTTTAACTGTTATTTAGGCATAAGAAAATTTTTTTTTTCATAAGAACATTTAATTTGATATAAGAGCAATTGCAGCATTATGGATATGACATTTGCAGTAAAAACTTAAAACAGAAAATCATATAGAGAGTATATGTTAAGATTATATTGAAACATCTGTTTATATTTTCCACAACAACTAACCACAGAGTTAAGGGACCAGGAAAATATAAATCTGAAAAAAAATTTATATTTTAAATGAGGAAAATAAACATGCGTTACGGATGTGACAAAAAAGTTAACGAGTTTACAGTCTACAACAAGCTTCGTAGAAATTCTGTGAATTAAACTGCACAACCCAAAATAAATAACGCTAATCGAAAGGATAAAGGTTTGCTCACTACAGTAGAAAAACAATTGATTTTATTTTATTTGACATTTTTTGCATCTATGAGGAAAAAGCTTCGTTATTGATGTTACGTCTCTCCGTTTTGGATGTGAAAATACCACTTGTGTGATTTTGGTAAATCAAATACAATAGTTCGAAAATATTGACAGAGACAATAAATTTTAATGTAATCAAAATATTCACATTTTATGTTATTTATTTATTTATTTATTTATTATTTATTGTCACATCAACAACTTATGGCTATTTCATGACAAGATAGATATACATAAAAACATTACATGATACAAACAGATTCGTATTACAATAAAAGTTACTTAAATAAGTATATAAATTATAAATAAACAAAATTCACACAAAAATATATTCAAAGTTAAATATGATTTTTCTGTTAAATTTTTGATAAATCATTTAAGATTCTTCCTGGTGGTGCCTTTTTAAAAATGTCCATGAAAGTGCTCTCCTTATAAAAATTTTGTCTAATTGTATTCAAACTTTCACATTCCAACAAAATATGTTTGATATTAAGAGCAGCCTGGCAATGATTACATTTAGGTGGGTCATCGTTTTTGAGTAAATACAAATCAGTCAACCTAGAATGTCGAATTCGACATCTAGTACAGACGGTTTGATCATGCCTGGTCTCAAAATTATAATCTGCAAAGTGTCTTTCATTTATTTTTGGTTTAATTTCATATAAATTATTAATAAGCAGTTGCCCCATTCCACATTGTTTTAATTTAAAAGGGATTTAAAAGGAATCTCTTTTATGTTTAAAATCTAACTACCCCTTTAAGCAAATATGAGATTAGTTAAAGAGAATACTAAATCAATTTTATTACTTAAAATTAAAATATTAATTAAAATAAAAAATTCTATTTTTTTTTCTGCTTGCACTCACCGATCTCTGCGGGCAGCTGTTTAATCTTGTTCTCTCGGATGCTCAGCATTGTGAGTTTGGACAGATTCTTGATGTCCTTCTCTACGGTGGTGATGCGGTTGAAGCGCAGGTAGAGTGTGGTGAGGGAGCTGACGCGGTACACCACAGCCGGGATCTCCCGCAGCTTGTTATGCCGCAGGTCGAGCATCCGCAGCTTCTTCAGGTTGTCCAGCGAGTCAGGTAGGCTGGTCAGAGAGTTCTCACTGAGCGCCAGCGTCACCAATCCTGACAGGCATCCCACCTCGGGCGGCAGGCTTTGCAGCTTGTTGCTGTACAGGTAGAGCTCGGTCAGCTGGGTCAGCTCCTTGATGGACGAGGGCAACAGATGGATGGATCTCTTGGACAAATCCAGGCGCATCGAATTCTCCTCGCGGCACTTGTTCAGCTCCTTGATGACCTCGGCATTGCTGGATTTTTTGCGCGTGCTGGGCGGCGGATTGGGCCGCTTTATCGTGCTGTCCAAGGTGAAGGCCACCGCGGGCGAAGCACCGCTTGTGTCTTTCTTCCCATCTTTGGCATCTTTCCCTTTGGTTTTGGATTTCCCTTCAGCTTTGGGTTCCCTCTCCTTAGAGTCTTTATCTTTGCCCAGAGTACTGCTCATGGCGAAAGCCCCGCAGTCCAATGGCACATGGGACCCTCAGTTTTATCGCTCTGTTCTCTCGCTCTTGTATTTTGTTCGATGTTCGAGGGCAGAACCAAAGGGAGGGGTTGCTATATCAGTGTGTGCTCATACATACCTGTTTTCCTTCACCGAGGCAGTCTGTACTCCTGCAGGGGTTAAAACTCCATTGGGGTGAAGCGTGTTTGCTGTAGTTGGTGTGGAGGCCACCAGCCTCATGCTTGTTTTAACTCCACTCTTTGTCTTGGCTTGACTAGAGCTGTTTTACACAGTCGGGTCGCCGGGATTCACATCCTTTGGCTGTTGAACAAAACAAACAGCTTCAGTTAAGATGACTTGCAGACAAGAGTTTTGTTCACATTTCAGATGCAAGAGCTTCCCTCAATAATGCAAAAGATGTTTGAGCTGATAACTAATAAATGGACAGCTCCTTCCTGTATGCCTATACCACAAGCGCTTTCAGGAAGCAGCAGCATTGAGTCATTCAGATCGTCAGTGGTCGGTTACTTCAAGCAATTACGTGCAATTAAACCTCGGATCGCTTTCGGTGATGCATCAGATGAGTCTTTTTCTGGAGGGTTTGCGGGAAGTAGATACATTTTTCAGGGACTTCAAGTGGACTTGCCTACTTCCAAACTAATTTAGCCAAATATGGCAATTGTCATATCAGCAACATGCAACCTTCATGCTTTCGCAAATATATCTATGACAAACAGTTTAACAATATTGCTAATAGTGTTGCTTTCCTGACTATCAGTGCAAAATCATAATTGCAAATGTTTATACAACTGATTTTAAACAAAGATAAGACAAAATACTGCGTTTTTTTTTTTCCTTTTTCACCAACATAGTTTCCAGAGCAGATTAAGTATTGATCTTTGAGCAAGTGTTTTTTTTTGCAAATCAATCTGTTTGACTGAATCTAGTAAAATTGTTTATAATTTACTCTGCAGTTATAAACAAATGATTTAAATGACAATGAATTACTTAAGTGTCTTAATAAACTTGTGTCCAAAGTTGTTGCCGTTTTTGCGCAACTGAATATGCTAGCATCTCCATCGTTAAAAACTCACTTATTTAAAGAAAAAAATGCAGCGCTTACATTGACATCAACAAAAATCTCAGCTTGAGTAAAAATGCTTCTGTGGACACATAACGTAAGGCAGAAATTTTTCACCATCCAATGCAGTGCTTCCCATTAGGGCTGGGCGATAATTCGATATCGGTAATTATCACGATATAAAATATTTTGATAAAACAATAATGGCAGTTCGATAATTGCTCAATAATATTTACGCACTATGCGTAACGTTAACAGCACAATCTCCAACACATCCCAATGAACACTTGAAGCTTGCTCTATGGCTGCATTAACGATATTTACACTACAACGTTTACACTAATAAAAATAATATATGTTAGGACTGCGTTGTTTTGTTTGTGTGTTTGATTTTGATTCCAGATTGGGGGCGTGCCTTCAGCGCACCTGATGCTGGTCAGCGCCCTTATTTAAACCCTGGCAGAGAGTTTGTCGGGGCCGCTGTCCATTCATTTGGCAGTTGGCCAGAGCAGCGCTCCTATTTGGCCATTTTGCTTTCTTTTGCATCCATACACTATCACTGACAACATTTACCGCATCCATTCATTTGCATTTCACACTGATTGAACATACTGATACTGATATTTTGATTATATAATTTTAATTGAGTTAAATAAATATTCTTTTTGATTATACTTCTCCTTGTCGTCTCCCTTATTATGTTACATCCCTGAGGCAGGTGTAACATATGGGGGCTCGTCTAATTTAAATTTAGTTGATTTGATCTTTGGCTTTCGTAATCGGTATTTGTTGTGTAATAGGTGGGAGAGACAAGGAGGTGGAGATGTTTGTTGGAGCGGCTTTGGGTTTCTAGTCCAATCAGGAAAAGGTAAGTTCTTGCGGTTTAAAACTGTGTTAATGTAAATTTCCCCTGTTAGGTTGTAGCAGCGCATTGCGTTGGTTTTTTATTTTATAAAGTAGCAAATTGAAAGGATCAAACAAAAAATGGTTAAACTCGAATAAGGGGACGATAGTGAAGCCAAACAAAAGAAAGAAATATAACAAAACATTTCTAATTTATGAATAACCCCTTACCTCGCTAAAAACTGATGAAAAGAAAAAAGTCCTTCAGCGCAGTGCACCGCATTCTTCCCTATTCTGAATAAAATAAATATAAAGATGAGATTCACCTCTTACCTGATGTCTTTAACAATACTTTTTCTACGTGTTTGCAAAATGGAAGTTGTACGTTATCTTCCCTATCCACCTTACTCTGAGAAAAGAGTGAACTTGAGAAGATAGGGTAGCTGAATATTGAAAACATACAAATCAATCTAAATAAAAATTAACAAAACTCACAAAATTTCTCAAAGTGGGCAAAAGTAATGCAAAATAATTTTACCCGAACGAAAGCAAAAACAACGATAATCATAATCATGTCAGCAAAATACACCAAAAACGAGATCAAAGGAAAAATCGCGCTCTCCGCTTTTTATATCCCCGCGCGGCCGCGCCATCTCCGCCTCGCCTCCGAAACGCGGCCAGCTGCAGACTGCAGTGAATAATGCTAAGCTGACTCTCTGCTTTTTCGCTGATCCACTGCCATGTCCCGCTATACACCCGCAACCGACCTGCAATTAGCTAACTATAATGTATTTTTTATTACCCGACCAGTGGTTTATCCGCAGTGCCCGCAGATAAAACCGACATTTACGCATCACTAACGGGAGGCAAAAATACAACCTTTATGGCTCCCCGCATGTTTTCGTTGTGATGCGTGATTTGTAAAATAAGAGTTTTTTTTTCTGATGTTAAACAATAATATCCAATAACTTGTAGGGATGTAACGGTATTGTAAATACCGTCATACCGCAATATTAATTTTTTTCGATATTACCGTAGTCGCATGACTCGGTACAACTATAGGTCTTCTGAGAAAATTTGCTCAGGCAAATGAAGCGAACGGGAGGTACTGGAAACTACAATTCCCATCAGCCCAGGGGTGGCCATCATCCCTTGCGGTCTGTTGTCGCTACAGATACAGTAATGTGGAAATGGAGTGTGCTGCTAGAAGCGGGCATCAAAAAGAGCTGGAAATGATCGAACCTGAAGCGGTTGTTGTCGCCGCACGCGTACTGAATAGCGGTGTTGATGCGCGCGTTCTGATCAGCTGTGTTGTCGCGCGCGTACTGAATAGTGGTGTTGTTGCGCGCGTTCTGATCAGCTGTGATGTCGCGCGCGTACTGTAAAGCGGGGAGGGGGGGTTGAGCGCACATACTCAAGAGCGGTGTTGTCGTGCGCCTACTGAAGGGCGGGATGGAGGGTGTGACACAGCACACTGTTCAGATTGATACAGACATGAGACCTCTCTCACTCATGGCTTGTCCTCTCAAGTGGGGGAAAGACAATGCACAACGTTACCCACTGCTGTCAACCTGGGCCAAGTCATTTCTCTCTGTCCCAGAAACCTCAGTCCCAAATGAGAGGGTTTTTTTCTGTTGCAGGGGACATTTTAAATGCCCAGAGATACCAGCTTTTACCAGATTATATTTATATGATAATTTTCCTTAAAACCCATCTCTATCTAAGTGAGTGAGTGATTAAATGTTGAATGTGACGAGTTTTCAACAATTTCTAAATTGAAACTTTATTTTTTTACATGGTTTAATAATTTTTTGTTATTAAAATTGAAGTTCCTGTTTCAAAGCTTACAGATAGATGGCTAATTTGTATGTCATTGACACTTTTGGCACTTTTTTAGAGTATTTTCATAAGTTTTGTTTTTCCTGTAAATGATTCAATAAATACCGTACCGTGACATTCATACCGAGGTATTACCGTACCGTGAAATTCTGATACCGTTACATCCATAATAACTTGTAATGTCTTTGGTTGTTTTCTCTTTAACTTTTTACTTTTCCTATTGCCTATAGAATAAAAATAAATAAATAAATAAAAACACGTGTCAAGCCATGAGAACCGAACCGAAAACAGTATTAAAAAACCATGTTAAAAAATTCTCCCCATTTTTGTTTCCCTCGTCTCTCACGAGGTGTGCTGACTGCACTCTCCTGCAGAGGATCAGCAATTCTTCCTCTATCATCCTCTTGCTATCCTCAACAACATCAGTCTTAAATTGGTTTTACACAGGAAGGAGTGGTAGTGTTTAATTCATTTTCAATAAAAAAAATGTGGCAAGCTGAAAATTGCAAGTGGTTTCACTCTCGGCTGTGTGGAGGTGCTCAATAACATAGCGTGTACTAGTGTACTTGACATACAAATACAAACAATGTGCAAAGTACTGTATCTGACATGAAAATGCGCTGTTTATGTTCTAGTTAGGTTGCACGATTAATCAAAAAACAAATTGTGATATCGATTCGACCCCCCACACGATCTTAATCTAGCATCTCTACAATTCAGCCTATTATATTTTCAAGTTCAGGAGAGAAGCATTAGATGACTTCACAAGTCTTCACATTGCTTTATATATATATTGCTCAGCATTGTGAACACCTCCAAATGGTGTTGAAAGAGTAAGCATATTGTATTTATAAATTATAATTCACCCAAAAATGTCATTTCTCTTTTCATTTAATGACGTATTCGATTTTGTAAATCACACGTTTGTTTCCTACAAAGAAAACGCACGTGTGCCCACAAATGATTTCTACTTTAGTAAAACCTGCATAGGCTGTTAATAACAGGTAATTAAATTGTAAATAACATTCAGTTTGTAGCACAGAACTATTGTTTTGAAAGTATGATTTGAATGTAGGCCTATTTTTTTTCTCAAAGTGACTGGAGCCAAAAAAATGAAACACTCTGCAGTAAAAGTGAAACCAAAAGCTTGAACAACATTTAAATGATCATATCAAAGTTTAAAGTTATGATTACGACAAGCATTTGATACATTTTGTGCATTAAAATACATGTTTAACAGTGTCTGAGAATAAATGTTAAAACTACTTTAGCCTAACATTGAATATAATGCAAGAGGGAATCTGATAATGACAAATGTCTCGTTTGTCAGTGAAAAAGATTATATAACAATATTGTCAAGGGAAGACTGCAAGCATACGTCTCAAACATAATTCAACTTCAGATTTATGAATAGTTGTATTCTGATGTCATCACTTTACTGTACATTCAAGCGCACATAGCTCACCCGATTTTTATGATTTAATATTATTATGGTTCTTCTGAGTGTTTCAGTTTAGGTTAAGTTCAACACACAGTTCAGGGGCCTCATGTATCAACG